GACCCTCAGCTGTTTTGGCTGCCCACCAAAATTCATCACCATTGTAAGGCAACTTCACGATGGCATGAACGGCAGCGTCCTGCACAATGGCACCCAGTCTGAGTTCTTCCCCATCCAAACAGGGGTAAAACAAGGGTGTGTACCGGCAACAACCTTCTTTTCCATTTTCTTGGTTGCCTTCCTTATTTGTGCTAGTGCCAATTTAGCCGGTGGGGTGTATATCCAGTACCAAATGAAAGGTCTTTTCAACATAAGATGACTCCAGGCAGGATCAAAGGTGTCAGCAGCTTCCATTACTGAACTTCAGTGTGCAAATGACCTCACCCTTGTTGCTCACACTGAACACGACCTACAGGAGATCATGAACACCTATGCAGATGCGTATGAACACTTCTGCCTTCAGGTGAATGTACGTAAGACTCGGATTCTCTTTCCGCCTGCCCCTGGTTCAGCCACACCCCCACCATCCATCCAGCTTAACGGTACTACCCTGGAATGTTCCAGCTTTGGGAATTTTTTTCTAAGGAGCACATTTTCTGGAAAATTCCGAGAAATTTTCCCGATACTCGGAAAAATCTTGAGATGGAGGAGCTTTTTTCCGGGTTTGAGAGGAAAATCAGGCGCATTTTCTGGAAAAAATGCAAAAAAAAAAAAAAAAAAAATTCTGGTACCCTTAAAATTCCGTTCTGGTACCCTTAAAATTCCGGAGAACGGGGATATTTTACAGGGTTCAAGAGATGATGTACTGGGCAATTTCTGGAATTTACGAGAAAATTTTTCTGTTACCTGGAAACTTCCAGAAAATTCGGCTTTGAGAGTAGTCGTCTCGTTACCCAGAAATCTCTCATTCCCGGAAGTGCTCTGCATTAATTGTTCTGGCTAACAGAGATATCACTCTTGCCACACGTGATGATACAGTACACCTTCTTATAAAATATTAGTATCACTGTAAGGAATACTTTAGTAATAAACAGGATATACAGTACACATAAAGGCATCCCCTGCGTTACGGAATCTCTGGTTACGGAATTTTGAAATTATGACAAAAATTTCGGGCTACAGAAAAAAAACTTGTTCTTACGGAATTTGGGTTAATTAAAAATAAATTTAAACCCAAATGTTTACTCAAATTGTAAAAATTATTTAATGTGGATTCTCTGTGACAACCACAAGGTGGCTGGAAAGCCATTCACCTCCCGAGTTGCCAGAAACCAACAATAATGGTACTGCTCAGTTAGAATTCTTTCCCCCAGCTTGTCTTCAGTTATGCATCTGTGTTCAGGACTGTACGAGAACAGGTATTCGTCCTTATGGAATTATGGTCAATTTATTGAGATTTTCAAAAGAAAAAATTGCAATATTGAACAAGTAATTTTACCGAAATTATAAAATTCATTTTGTGTGGATTCTGGTGGTAGCTAATAGCAGCCACAACAATGGTGCTGCCTATACTGAATTCTTTCACCAGTTTGTGTTCAATTATGCATGTGTTACTGTGTACCCTTATTCAAGATGAGTGGGAAAAGACCATCAAATTCAAGTGAAAGATTCCATAAAAGAATTGTTGAACAACAAATATGATGTTTTAATGAGGTAATGAGGTAACTCCCAGTAACTCTGATCCCACAACCTCACCTCACCACCTCCTGCAGCACTCAACATTGTTTCTGGTAAGTAAAATTCGAGTGTTTTGTGCATTTACTATAATGTTCCATCATGAGTGACTCATTGCGTGTGGTTAAAACCATCTAATTTCATACATATATGTGCTTGTGTCACGTTTTGGGGAAAAATGGTTTCATGTTACGGAATTTCGCATTGCGGAAAGATTTTCAGAAATGGAACTCTTACGTAAACCCCCCCAGGGGATGCCTGTATGTAATTAAGTTGACTTACAGTATAACTAAGACTTGCTCTTTACTCCTTCACTAGACACTGGCAGGAAAAGAATTAATCAAAGAATTGTAGAGCAAACAATCATAAGCAACTGTCATAATGTTGGTCAATCATTACACAAGACACAATAATAAGCTAGAACTCCGTCATAAAAAGGTTCTTTACTTTTTACCTCCACCTTCTTCACTGTGAACAAAAAAGCATCCTTCAAGGGACTAGAGATAAATTTCAGCCAATTATGCCTAACCATCCTCTAGTGTTCCACCTACACCCATACAGACACTAGCCACATCCTGTGATACACAAACTTAATATACCCATATGAACCTAAGAACAGGTAAAATCTATTAAACATCATCCAAGTACAGTGCTCCATATGTGCTGACATATAAGCATTACAATACTGTATTGTGCTGATACAGTGAGTTCTGCTATAACGCGTGTTTTGATAACGCGAATTTGCTCTAACGCGATTTATGAATTAGGAACGATATTTGTATAACGCGAACGCTTGTTTGCTATAACGCGATTTTTGCTTACTATTTCTCCAATTTTGTGGTATTAACTGTGAATATGGTAAAGAAGAATATCTCCAAGAAGCGTTCTGGTGATAGAATTCCCGGTGATGATCGTAAAAGAAAGGATATAACACTTGAAGAGAAGCTCGATGTTATCAACCTCAAAATCACCCTTCTCCCCCATCAAGTTACATTCATATTTTGTCAAGGTAAAGTATTACATTTACTGTATGATTTCATTATTAAATATGAATGTAACATTTATTTAGACTGTGCTATCCTTTGTGTTAGGCTAACTACTAAATTTTTTCGATTTCGAGTAATCTGCACCTAACCCTATTTTCTCCATAAGCCCTGTTATTTCTATTACACGATTTTCTATAACACGATATTTTACAAGAACACAATTATCGCGTTATAGCAGAACTACCTGTATGTAACTATGTAATCCATTCTAATGGCTTAACTTGATGAATACTGTGAGTATCTCCTATCAATTTAGGTAATATATTTTACCCCATCTCTCACTCTAATAAAGTGAGTAAGTTTAGACTGGTGCCTTAATAAATTCAGATTCAACACAGTACAAAATTAAGAAAAAAAGGACTATAATTTTGAACAGTTATTCACAAGTGGTCAGTGACAAAATAAAAATTTTGAAGCAAAGAAACTGAGGGTACTAACCTTGCTTGTGATGGACTTTCAGAAGGCTATGAGTTTTAAATTACATTATCAACCTAATCCTCACTCTCAAACAAGGCTGATGGTCAAGAGTCTTCTGTACCTGACATTTTAATGAATGATGTACAGTACAGTACAGTACTCCTATCATTGTAATAATACACATACATCACTATCATAATAAATTGTAATAAATCAGAATACAGAGATACTACTTAACTGAAATCTTAATACTTGTTATAGTTACTGTGCATAGAATATTTGCAATAAAAAGCCCTAATAGCAATCTCTTCAGCAGGCTAAATGAGGCACAGGGCAACAAAGTGGCCAGCTTCCTCCACATAATGATAAACAAGATGGCACACAAAGTCATCTGGCACCAACAACTGACTCTAGGTCTTCTGGTTAAACTGTGCTGGCCTCTAAACATAAAGTATGTCATTTTAGTAAATGCAGTACATAAAAGATATAGAGTACAGTAAATTTTGGTGGCACAATACACGATGCATTATGGGATACCAAAGTGTGTCTTTCATATGAAACTTTGCAAGTTCAGCTCATCATAACAATACAAAACTCACTCACAATCAGTTCTTCACCATTTATTATTCTATTTTACTTATATGCTTCATGAAAATTATTCAGATCAGAGATATACTAAAAGAAAAAAAAAATTATATCACTTAAGATTAGAATTACTGTCACCAAAACAGAGTAATGAGGAAAAAACTCTGATCTTCTGCTACCTCAAGACAACAATGATGAATAGCAAGGGTGTTTGCTTGTACTAATGCCAATGTTTTAATACTTTATAAAAGTCATGAATCTGCCTGTTGAAAATGATTCAAACTCATGTTACTCCCAAACAGCAGATTAGGCTGAGACATAAATGAATTCCCAGGAGCACTAAAAAAAAAAAAAAAAATTAGCACACAAGACAGACTCAGTTTGTACTCATGTTTGATTACACTTGCTAGGGACATGTAAACAAATATGATTCCATTTACTGAACCCCAGTACAGTATTGCATAGAAAAAAAGATGTGCTCAACTATTACCAGACTTTGTATAATTATACGTACACAATATAAGATAAAAAAAACCTCTTTACTGAGTAATAATCAGGAATCACCACAAGCAAGAATCAAATTAACAGCAGCATCCAGTGAGGTACATTGTGACGTGGCACATAAACAAAATGACACAATCGGTCATGTGTTTATTACCTGATAAATTAAGATGACAGCTCATACCTGGTAAACACTGGTGCCATTAGTAATAATTTTCACTCATCATAAATAAATCTACAAAATTTAATAAACTCAAAATTTTATTGACATGAGAACTTTTGAAATATGAAGGAAAACAACTGTATACTGAGGTGTGAAAACTTCAAGCATGGTTAAATGAATATCAAGTGTTATACAGGAGGCCAATATGTTTAAACCCTTGTGGTGATTCCTGACACTCTGTGCCAAGGTGGTAATATAATAAACAAATCATCTAATTCTCCACATTATCCAACCATATACCTGTTTAAAGTTCTGTTTAAATTTATTAATGGCTCAACCTGTGCATCAATGTGTAATGCCCTTTATTTACAATAATGGCAACACAACAATAAAACTCTCCCCATTCTTGCATATGCATATCAAATGAACAATGGTATAAAAACACAGATTTTTTTGTACTCACCTTGAGTACTGCTCAACTTGCAGTATTTCACACAATCTTATCTACTAAAAAGTAAATAAATATACATTTTTCAGTGGTATTTTACTTGGACGATTTATAAAAAAGAAAAAGAATATATATACTGTATTATACTGTACTGTATCAGATAAAATGGGTCATACAGTACTTGCAGTGTGTAACCTAATAATGGCCAATAAATAATAGATAAATACAAGTTTTTCTGTGGTATTATAATCAAGTGACTTCACACATTACAAAGAGTTTGCAAATGGTTTATAAATAGCATAAAGTGAGCTGATGTTTAGAACAAATGCTCAAAGCAAATGATAGTGCTACACTGTCCCATGTGGTTGACAAATCGAATTTTGGGCAAAGGCCATGTGGTCAAGGGAAATTCAACACTGAATCATAATCATACATTTTCTTTAAGTTACTGCACACATTTTAATGTTTATAAAATGAAAAAGTATCTAGGGGTTCAAATTCAACACGAAAGTTAAAAGCTGTTCTATATTGTCAACCTCAGACTTTCTCCTCCAAACTTGGCCTTCAATAATAATCAGATTTTTATTACCCCCACCAACAAATGGATCAATACATTTATTGCTACAACCTGGTCATCACACAAGTGCCTCACTGCACTTACCTCAAGAATCTAGAAACTCCAGCCATGTGGCACTAAGATAAACTAACTCAAAATACAAGCTTTCTCAAATTCTTTATACAATAACTGTCACTTTTCATTTACTCACAAACTTCAAAATTCTGAATTCACTATCACTTAACAACTTGTTTAAGTTCCATTAATGAGACCAACATGTGTATTATCATTGGCATCCATAGTGGTAGATGGCAAGGGTGGATGTAACAGCTGAGCATATTGTAGGAGAACTTCCCTGAGTGATCGCCACAGCTGAGGTGTGCCACTGCTGCTTGCCCCACCGACTTCCACAAGATGAGGGTATAGACCAATCAGCTGTGTCCAGGTCATGCTGTCCACTGAAATAATTAGTAAGTTTCAAGCTTAAATGGAGAGCAAGATTAGTCAGAAAGAAAAAAAATTAATTTGCAGTTTCTCGCTAGAATCATCCATTGAAAAAGAAATTGGGAGTTGAGTATATTATAAATGAGCTCTTTTCACTCTTACTAGACTGAATTTAATATGCTTACTCACTCAGTCATTGGTCTAAGACCCAGGAGGCGACATCAGTTGCTAGGAGTAATCTAAATAATGAATAAACCGTTAAAAATAGGTATATAGAAGCAAAAACTTTTCCCTCATGGACAGTTGTGGGAGGAGGTTGGATGAACATGTGTTGACCACACAAGCTAATGCACACTTCAACTTTCTTCTGGGTTGGCTACACTACACTTTCAGGTTTCAATCCCTATTTATTTCTGGCCACACCTACTGAGCAGGAGTTCTCACTCTTCCCTTCTGAGAATAAACTTTATCTCTACAATAATATTACCATTAGCAGGAATCCCTGATCCACGGAACTCTCTAATAGGCAGAACTGAAATTGGGCAGAAAATTTTCTGGGAAAACTCTCTCCATTCTGAATCTGCAAACGAGTTTCTGAGGATACAAATCAGATACATTTTCCTGAAAAAAATTCAGAGATGGAGCCGAGAAAATCTCTACAAGCCTCTCCGTTCTGGGCCTGGGAATAAGTTTTCTGGGAGTCCCGAGAACATGCTCCAACGCATCTCATGTGCCAGGCACATGGGTGACCTAGCTATTTGGATGCTTTTTTCATATTTTGCTGCTAGTGTAGAAGGTGGCTCCTTCACTAGCTGCAATTTTTGTATAAAATTTGTGTTGTGCAGTATTGTACATTGCTGTACCAGGACACAATCAGCCAAGAATACAGTATAAAAGCAGTGCTAAGAAATATAGTCATTACAGTTATGTATTCTGTACTGTACATTCAGTAAATGGGAAACATTGGAGCACCTTAGCTTTTGTCTTTATTCAAGACATATTCAAGTCATGAGACCCACTAATTCTCCACCCCAACAATGCATCAGAAGGTCAGTAATATAAGACCACTAATTCCACCCCACTTCCACTGTAAATGAGAGAAGAGTTTACAGTATATACAATGGGTCAACTGTGAAAGTGACCAGCGTGGGCGCCTGATTTGTTTGTTATTGTTTGGTGGTTGGTTGACACTCTTCTAAAATTCACCTAAAATCCAGTTATGAATCTATTTAAGCCCTAGAACAAGGAGTGCTAAATGTGCATTATGCACCACTACTGGTTGTTACATTAAATTAAATTAAATTAGATGTGGTAAAGAAATTTGAAAAAGGACAGTGAGCTGCTGGTTTGTAGCCTATAACTGTAGGTACGAACAATTTGTGGGTCGGATATTGTGAGGTCAGTTATTTGAGGGTAAGTTAAACAAGGGTTTACTGTACTGTAATTTGACTTCAAAATAAAAGACAAGCCTCATCACACCAAAATCCTTTTCCTTGACCACTCACCCCATCCTTCCATAAAGGTGGGGTGAATAGGGGACTGGCATTTACCAGTTTGCTGTTAATTATTCATTATTATATTCTCGTATGATAAGCCTCTTGTGTTGTATGTTTACTCATAAATAATATATTAAATACTGTAATAGAAAAACATATACAGTATTACCCCGCCTAACGCGGTTTCACTTAGCGCGTTTTACCGTATACGCGGTGCCTTGCCAGAGCTGAACTTTCACTTAACACGGATTTTTTCATCATATACGCGGTGAGTGTCCGGCTCGAGACGCTATTTTTAGATTTGCCCCACGCGCCACCCGCCCGCCTGCGCTCATCTCCTCTCCCTCCTCCTCCCTCCGCTTGGGCAAGCGGCGCGGTAAGGTTGCGCAGTGTGTGTCTTTGTTGCGTTATCACTGACGTCATATGATGTATCAGACTGTGATTGGCCATGCATCCCTACCCCCCTCTGCTGCTAGCTGTAATTGGCTTAAAGTATTATGACGTGACCACCCCGGGGAGGGAGGGAGGGAGGGAGGGAGGAAAGACGATGCTTGAGCTAGCCGCGGCAGTTTCATCCCTCAAGGCCACACCGTGTAAACGCGCATCCATTGTTCCGTAAAATGGCTTCCGCCGGACCACCACCGCCACCAGAGAGAGACCTTTCCTTACCTGGACCCAGCGGCACTAAGCCAAAGAAGACACGATGTTCCTTAAGCTACGAGGTGAAGTACCAAATTGTTCAAGATTTGGAGAAAGGAACACGGCAAGTTGATCTCGCGCGCCAGCATGGCGTCAACGAATCTACGATTCGCACGATCAAGAAGGATGCAGCCAAGATCAAAGAGCAAATGAAAATCACAAAGTCTGCAGGTGCTTCATCTATCATATATTGCCAGAACAGGGTGCTGGCAAAAGTGGAAAATTTGCTGGCGAGTTATTTGATTCGTCAGGCGCGACGCAACATGGCGGTGGACACGCGCTCAGTGCAGGAGTACGCACGTGAGCTATACGCAGCAGTGTCACGTAAGCTGGGAATTGCAGAGCCCAAACCCTTCAATGCTTCCTCTGGTTGGCTGCATAGGTTTAAGAAGAGGAACAAGATCACCAACATCAACATTGGTGGTGAGGAAGCGAGTGCTGACCGTGTGGCGGCTAGAGATTTTCCTCCGTTCTTACGTGAGATTATGGAGGAAGGACAGTACACTGACGACCAGGTGTTTAACATGGACGAATCTGGTCTTTTCTGGAAAAAGCTACCTTCCAAGACCTTCGTTGTCCAGTCTGCCAGCAAGGTAAGGGGTCGGAAGTTGCAGAAGGAACGCATCACCGTCCTGTTTACCACCAATGCCTCCGGTACCTGTAAACCAAAGTTATCGGTGATTCACACAGCCCGCAAGCCGCACGCCTACAAGAATATGGACATGAACAAGCTTAATGTCCACTGGCTAACCGCACGTAAGGCGTGGATGTCCTCTTCTCTGTCCCTCTTCTGGTTTGACAACTGTTTTGTTCGCGACGTGAAGAAATTCTGCGAGCAACAGAATGTTTCATTCAATATTTTGTTGCTCCTTGACAACGCACCTGGACACTCGCCCCTACTTATGGATCATCACCCCAACGTAAAAGTGGTCTTCCTTCCTCCCAACACTACGTCATTAATCCAGCCCATGGACCAGGAGTTGATCTGCAATGTGAAAGCTGCGTACTCTGCAAAGAAGTTCAAGCTCCTGAACGACTCTACCAACACCAAGGATGAGTTGCGTAAGCTGGGTGACACCGACAGCGAGAGCAAAAGCGACGAGGACAAGGAACAAGAGGTGGTGACTCAAGAACTTCTCGTCAAACAATTTTGGAAGAAGTTTAACGTTAAACAAGCTGTAGACTTCTTGGTGGAGGCATGGGATCTGCTGACTATTGCTACGATTCGTCACGCATGGAGACATGTGTTGCATGGCATACCAGGTGAGAGGAGGAGTGAACCTGTGACTGGTGAGGTTCAGACTGTTGCAGTAGCAGTGGACCTTGCCAGAGAAGCTGCGCTCAATATTACAGCTGAAGGCTTCTCCGAGACCACCAACGAAGACATCCTGGAGGTGATCAGAGATCCTGAATTGAATGCCGACGAGATGTTGGAAGAAGAACACGCCAGTGAAGAGGAGGAAGAAGGTGCGTCATTCTCCGAAGAACCTAGTTTAAGTCATAGTGATATTAAGTGTGCCATAGAGTTTGCAGAGAAAATGAAGTCCGTCCTTTCCCGCGACAATGACGATGACCGCTATGAAGTCTTCCATACCCGGCTGGTGCAGGCTATGGAGCCGTACATCACGGAGTATCATGACAACATAAACACCAGCCGTCAAAAAAGCATAACCGAGTTCTTCGCCCGCAACCCACCACAGCCAGCCCAAGCCAGTGATAGTGACAGTGAAGTTGACTTTGAGGGATTTGTCAGGGAAGCCCTGACAACTGTAAGTGACAGTGATGGTGATTCACCTAGTAATGGTGATTCACCTGAGGGCCAGTAATCTGCCCTCTGCCTCGGAACCAGCCTCCATCCCCGTATGCCGACCCATCTCTTCTACTACCGTAAGTGTTCCACCTAACTTTTAGTTTCTCTAACGTAACCTTTATTTTTCCTATGTTAACCTTTATTTTTCCTAACCTAACCTCTTCTATATTACTTGTTTTTTCATACCATCATAAAGTTAAGATAAAATTTTTACTACAACATAGTTATGTGTCGTCAAAAAGTGGAGTTTGGGGGTCGGGCTGGTTTCTATTGGAATTAATCCCATATGTTCTGTTGTTCACTTAACGCGGATTTCACTTAACACGGGACCCTCTGGGTTCTATTGACCACGTTAAGTGGGGTACAACTGTATACTGTATTTGCCGGCATATAAGAAGCATTTAAAAAAAAATAATGTATAAAAAAATTACCCTGCGTCTAAAGCACCTGTATTATGGATGAGTGGCCGAGCGCCGTAGGTGCCTAGCTAGGTAGTCTGGGACGAGCAGTAGTCCACTAAACACAAAAATTGTGTTACTTATAATATTACTTGTAATAAAATACTGAAAGACAAGCCAAATTATCACAATCTATTATCACAAACTTACAGCAAATTTGCCGAAGACTTACTGGGTAAATAATGGCTTACATTGGCTTAACGGCAGAGGGAAGCTCACAACATCTCACTGTATTGTACCTCCTTCCTCAGCATACGTAACCCACACCAGATACATGCCTTACATTATTTAACGACTGTGTTGCCTTTAAGAAACATTTGTTTATTATCTAAATGAAAAATGCCCGGAGAAAGTTTAAAGAAATGTTAAGAGAAAGTTCAGCCGCCAGTCAGCCATTTGCAGCGAGTCGGTGACGCCAAAACAATAGCGATGGTGCTACACCCTGGTGGCAGGTTGCGGCAACAAAAAACATCACAGCCAAAATACAAGTTTCACATCCTGTCGGTAATTCTCTTGATCAAAATATAAACAAGCCACACAGCTGCTCTGATCAGAGGTAGAGTTGGGTTATTCCCCTAACACATTTTATTTTAATTTCCTACAGAGTAAAAACCCATGGCTCAAAAGCAACGAAGGCATTGCTATGACATAAAGTACTAAAATTGTTTTTTCCACAAAATATCCTTATGCAATGGTGCATCTTATATGCCGGCAAATATGGTATGATTTGTAATATAACTTCAAAATAAAAGAACACGCTGTATCAGAAGATATTCTCTACCCTGATCACTCTTCCCTTCCAGCCGACTGCCATCAAGGCCAGGTTTTGACCTGAATATTATTGATTCATTATTATTATATTCTACTATGATAAGCAAGCCAAAAAAAAATCATTATGAGAGATGCCATTTGTTATGTCCACAGATGGCTGTATTTCTCCAGTAACAAAACAGAACAGGCTTTTGGGCAGGGGACATCAACATAGTGCAGGCAAAAACAAACAAATGTTCAAAGTACACCTCGTGCATGTGTTGAGAGAACTGCTGAATCTAAAAATTTTCCTTTCGCCCACAGAAATTTCCACTAACCCGTAATTGTTTTCAAAATGTGTGGGGATATCTTTTAAAACTCTTAATGGCAGAAACAGTGGCCAAAGCATCAGCCAGCCCTTTAGCCAGAGGGGCTGGCTGAGGGGAGGAATGACGACTCAAAACTTCAACACTGGTGAATAAGTCTCAATTTATGCTTACATTCCTTAATTAAAGCTTATTATGCTTGCTTTAGATGGGGGGTTTTGGGAGGAGGTGGGTCCCTAAACTCCTGAATTTGTTATATTCTTATGGGATTTATTGCTTTGAAAACTGTTGATTCCCTGCCCATTGACTTTTCGAAGCCCGCATATGCATCGGTTATCGAGGTATACCTGTACCTCTATTTCTATCTCTTTTATAAGTTTAGCGGCATATATTCATAATTTGCAGCCAAGTGGCGGTTACCACAGTGTTTTATACATAACAAATCATATAAGTTATGGAAATATCATTTCACTGTTCTGATGTGACTTACAAATAAAGAAAATATAATATAATACTATAAAAAAGGAAAAGTGATTGGTGGGAAGTGAATTCTAAATGGAAGAGATGGGAGGCAGAGCAGTTCAGGTGGATGGACCGAATGAAAAATTCCCTCTCTCCGTTCCAGGAAGCTCCGTCACCCAGTGATCCAGTTAAAATGACAGTACACTATGCAATTTCACCATAATTCACATATTGTTTAGGTTCATTTGGTTGCAAGATAATACAACATTATCGTAAAACAAAATAAATTTTCGCCAAAAAAATTTCACACGCAACCCTAATTAAATAATTGTGTCATACAGGGGGGTATTAAATTCCCAGAGCTTAGTTTAGATAGAGTGGACAGCTGACCAGCAAGCCAGTCCGCGTCTATGCCTGCCTAAAAGTTGGTATAATGGTGTCACCCAGAGGAGGACTATGAGAAGGGAAGGCGCTATTTATATAATACAGTAAGATCTTGTATTTCGCGAGTAATATAGACTGGAAAAATTGTGCCAAATTGAAATTTGCCAAATGCAAATACATAAACTAATGGTAAAAATAACAATATAGACTGGCTACTCTACATCAACCTCTGATTTTCCCATTTATAACCTCCAAAGGATACAATTTCTGCCTTTATTGACCTGATTGTGCTTTCTGGAAAACCAGTAATCTTTCATATCTCACTAGTTTTTAGGCCTTCCTCAAGTAACTTAATCACATGCTGCTTATCCTGCATTGAGTACTTGGCAAACTTAACTCCCTTATGATAGTCCTGCTTCTCCTTTTCCTTATTTGGCTGCTAAGATGGGTCTGTCCCACCCCCACCAGCACCAGTAGGACCCCAGTAGAGGTAGAGGCCATTATCTTGACTCGACAGGTGGTAACACCACCCAAAAAAGCACACAATAGCAGCCCGGGCGGTCGCTAGGATGGCGCGGGCTACAACGCGATAGTTGCTTTCTTGTAAACCTCTTTTACGTTCACCACCGACAATTCGATCACCAGAGTGCTTCTTGGAAACATTCTTCTTACCTTGCCTTTCCGTATTCATCGCAAACACAACAAAATTGGAGAAAACAGCAAAAATCACGGAGCAATCGACAGAAACCGCGTGATTCAACTGATCACGTGATGTAAACAGAGAGCGCTGGTGTAAGCCGTTATTAGTCCTTACTGCAAAACATTCTTTTAACTTATTCTTTTCATACAGTATTTATGGGTAACAACTAAATTTGCAAAAAAAGAAAAAAATTTACAGAGTACCTCTTAAAAAAAAACACTTCACAAACGAAAGACACGAATCAATTGAACATGTGATGTCGAACGTGAACTGTAAACATTGCATAACACCGTGCCACGCCTAAAACGTTGAGGATGGAATCGCGCTATAGCCAACATTCGTATGCAGAAGTTCTCATTTAACAAACAGCGTTCCCCTATTCATCAATCGAATCACAACCACTTCGCGTTGACAAAACACGCGTTGTAACAGAAATGACTAACTGGTATAAGGGCTGTGACGTCATTCAAGACGGTGGCCAGCGTTCAGCTGGCTGGATCTCGCAAAACTCACGATATTTTACGCCAAATATAAAACTTGGTTACATTAGGTAGTGCTCGCGATATTAAAAAACGCAATATGAAATCGCGCAAAATATGAGATCTTACTTGTTATATATTACTGTACAAATAATTGTATAAAGAAATAATTTATATTATTATAGCAACAAATGTATTTATTTACTTTAAATGTTGATTGTTTATATGTAGACTCACTGTAGGGAGGTGGATTTATATGGAAACTCACTGTAAAGGGAGCATGATATAAACATGGGATTTAGAAGACTGTGCCTCAATCTCTCCTACATAAATAGCCTTAAGAAATGAAGACACCACATTACTGTACAAATTAACTTTTTGTATACTATCTACAAGTATGTGTTACTGTATTTCTTATGTATTATGAACAATATTTAGTGTTTATTAGTGCAGTTTTGGAACAGTTTATGTATTTTTTGGCCTCTAGAACCTAATTAAGTATTTCCATTTAAATCAGTTAAACTATAATTCGTGATTTGATAATTCCCGATATTTTTTGGGACCTAACCCACAAATTATCGCAACTCCACTATATCACTTCCTACTTTTAGTTACCTTCGGCTTCTCAAATTGCTTTATATAGAGCAGCTGGCCGAAAATGAAGGAGAGGAAATCACATTTCATGGCTTAACCCTACATTAGGTGGCTTGGGAATCCTGCTTCCTGCCATGGGATAGTCTTGAAGTATGACGTAAATGAAAGGTAACCAAGGCTTGATAGACTAATTAAGACAACCTAGACAAAACATGAAGTGTGGTGTAGCTTTTGTGATGTCACATTCTCATACAACCTCCCCACTTTTTTGTCCAAGAGAGAAAAACCTTTGTTTCTAAATACCCCTTTTTGGGGCTGTAATTCCATAAATAGAGGTTTACTATTCAAGAAGAATACATGGTAGTACAAGACACTAAAGTCGGGTCTTATGGGTCGTTGATCAATGGCTGTGAAGTCATTATCATTGAGCTGCCAAGTTCAGGGGTTAAACATAAATTGCTATTTCAACATTAATTCCCCATTTACCAAGTTCAAATTTTCTGCCAAACACATACAGTACAGTAGAGTAAATCAATGGTAATTTTATCTGGTTGCAAAATAATATTTTTTACCAATTGTCTTTATATTGCAAGTGAACACACAAGGATTTACCTTTCTCCACTGGTGCCTTCTTGAGGGAGGATAGCAGAGTTGCTATGGCTTTCAATACAAAACTTATCTCAGCTACTCTGTGCCTGAAATAGAAAAATTCATATTTAGTCTAAGGTAAGTAATGTCTAACAACAGCAAAAAAGAATTACAAGTGCAGTACTATACATGATATATCCGTTAGCCGAAACATTGGGTGCAGAGCACTTCAGATATATATACAGTGGTCCCTCCGTTAACGAACGCCTAAGTTAACGAAATTTCAGTTAACGAATTACCTTCCATAAGAATCTTCAATTCGGTTAATTAAAAAAAATTTGATTAACGAAATCCTTATGAAAATCACATTTTGTTTTGAACATCAGCTGATAAGCTGAAGAAGTACTCAGCCAATTCAGTGAACTCTTCTATGTTTACATTCAAACTAATCACTATCTTATAAGAATTCCAGCAATGCAAATTAAATTCACCCCAGTCACTTCTATTAAATTTTATAAGCAAAAAACAAAAACCCACTAAAAGAAAAAAATAAACTAACAATTAAATACTTCACACCACAGGCGCCAACTGTCAAACATGTCACTGTCACCCCTCCCTCCCTACCCCCCCACCTTCCTGAGAAACGTTTGGGAAAAAGACTAGGTTTACAGGTTTAAAAATAAATAATACCTCAGACTAAAGTTAGGATAATATAATTGGCATTACTGAAATCCTTGCAAGACAAGGAATATTTTGAATATAAACTTCATATATTTTGCACAAAAGATACAATTTTTGCTCTCCCTAACAAAATTCTTAAATTATATCTAAAATTTGTATGTCTAATGCAAATTTTAGCTTGTTTATATTTAAATTAATCACCATCTTACAAGAATTCCAGCAATGTAAATTATATTCTGGCCAGGTAATTTCTATGAATTTTATGAGCTAAAAACAAATATCTTCAGTCAATAAACAAATTATACTTCATTAGACACTATCTATCAATCAAAATGCCCCACCTCCTGCCCCCCCCTCTTCCCAAGCTCGCTGGCTCTCCTCCCTCCCTGAGAAATGTTTGGGTGAAAACACTAGGCTTTTAGGTTTAGTAATAAATAATATGTCAGACAATAGTTAGGATAATATAAATGACATTAATGGATTCCTTGTAAGACGGGGAATAATTTGAATATAAAAGTCATATATTTTGCACAAAAGGTAAAATTTTTCCTCTCTAATAAAATTCATAAATTAGATCTAAAATTTGTATGTCTAATGCAAATTTTAGCTTGTTTATATTCAAATGAATCACTATATATATATATATATATATATATATATATATATATATATATATATATATATATATATATATATATATATATATATATATATATATATATATATATATATATATATATATATATATATACACAGTCAACCCTCACTTTACGCGGTTAATGTAACCCACAGGGTACCGCGGAAAGTGAGAAACGCGTAAAGTGAATAACATAACATATGGGATTAAATGAAATAGAGACCAGCTGACCCCCAAACTCCACTTTTTCCAACACAATACCTATGTTCTAGTAAAAATAACATCTTAATTTTATGATGGTACATGCACACAATTAATACTTAAGAGAAATAGAGAAATACAGTCGCCAAGTTAATGTCCATTCAAATAATGGACACGACTCCCTCCCCCTCTTCTCACACTACACTGCTGGCTCTTCCCTCTGAGAAATTTTGGGGGGAAAACCAGGTACAGTATTACCCCGCCTAACGCGGTTTCACTTAACGCGTTTTATCATATACGCGGTGCCTCGCCAGAGCTGAACTTTCACTTAACACGGATTTTTTCCACATATACACGGTGAGTGTCCGGCTCGAGACACTATTTTTAGATTTGCGCCACCCGCCACCCTGCCTGACTGCCTGTTTTAGCTCATAAAATTCATACAAATTACCCGGCCAGAATATAATTTACATTGCTGGAATTCTTATAATTTGGTGATCATTTTGAATATAAACATCATATATTTTGCATTAGACATACAAATTTTAGATAAAATTTTTTCTCTGGGTAACTATGTTATCTTTTGTGCAAAATATATGACATTTATATTCAAAATATTCCTGGTCTTACAAGGAATCCAGCAATGTCAATTATATTATCCTAACTTTAGTTTGAGGTATTATTTATTACAAAAAAGTTAAGTATTCTGGTTTTCCCACACATCTCCTTGGGACGGTTGGTGGGGGGTGGGGGGGAGGGACCGACCGACCGACCATCTGTTACCCAGTGAAGAATATTTTTTATTTTTTTTAACTGAAGATATTTGTTTTAGATCATAAAATTCATACAAATTACCCGGTCTGAATATAATTTACATTGCTGGAATTCTTATAATTTGATGATCATTTTGAATATAAACATCATATATTTTGCATTAAACATACAAATTTTAGATAAAAATTTGTTCTGAGTAACTATGTTATCTTTTGTGCAAAATATATGACGTCTATATTCAAAATATTCCTGGTCTTACAAGGAATCCAGCAATGTCAATTATATTATCCTAACTTTAATCTGAGGTATTATTTAATACAAAATGTTAAAATCTAAATTTTTAACCCACTCTTCTCTTGAAGGGATGATTGGTGGGGGGTGGGGGGGAGGGTTGGGACTGACCACGCGGTTGGAAGAGGGGGGGAGGCAAGGTGGGGTACTTTGATTGACAGATAGTGTCGTGAAGATTATTTTTTTTTTATTAACTGAAGATAAAATTATACATTTACATTGCTGGAATTTGTGATCATTTTGAATATAACATCATATATTTTGCATTAGACATACAAATTAGATAAAATTTTCTGAGTAACTATGTTATCTTTTGTGCAAAATATATGACATTTATATTCAAAATATTCCTGGTCTTAGGAATCCAGCAATGTCAATTATATTATCCTAACTTTAGTTTGAGGTATTATTTATTACTATACCTAGTTTTCCCCCAAAATTTCTCAGAGGGAAGAGCCGGCAGTGTAGTGTGAGAGGGAGAGTTAGTCCATTTTGAATGGACATTAACTGGCGACTGTATTTCTCTATTTCTCTTAGTAATTGTGCATGTACCATCATAAAATTAAGATGTTATTTTACTACAACATAGTTATGTGTCTTCAAAAAGTGGAGTTTGGGGTGGGCGGTTTCTATTGGAATTAATCCCATATGTTCTGTTGTTCACTTAACGGATTTCACTTAACACGGGACCTCTGGGTTCTATTGACCGCGTAAGTGGGAACTTAACAGTAATAAATAATACCTCAAACTAAGTTAGGATAATATATTGATTGTGCTGATTCCTTTGGACCAGAATATTTTAAATATAAATGTCATATATTTTTACAAAAGATAACATATTTACTCAGAGCAATCATTACATCTAAAATTTATTGTGTCTATGCAAATGTTATAAATTCCAGAAATGTAAATTATATTCTATTTGCGGGTAATTTGTATGAATTTTATAGGCTAAAACAAATATCTTCAGTTAATAAAAAAAAAATATTCTTCACGACACTCTCTGTCAATCAAAGTACCCCTTGCCTCCCCCTCTTCCAACCAGCCAGATGGTCAGTCGTCCCCAACCCTCCCCCACCTCCCACCAACCCCTCCTTCAAGAGAAAGAGTGGGTGAAAAATAGATTTTAACATTTAGTAATAATACCTCAGATTAAAGTTAGGATAATATAATTGACATTGCTGGATTCTTGTAAGACTAGGAATATTTTGAATATAAATGTCATATATTTTTACACAAAAGATAACATATTTACTCAAGGTAAACATTATATCTAAAATTTATGTCTAATGCAAAATATATGATGTTTATATTCAAAATGATCATCAAATTGTAAGAATTCCGCAATGTAACTTATATTCTGGCGGGTAATTTTGTATGAATTTTATGAGCTAAAATAAAAATCTTCAGTTAGTAAAAAATATTCTTCACACAGTAACAGATGGTGGTGCTTGGTCCCTCCTCCCCACCCCCCCACCAACAATCCATACTACATAAATGTGTGGGAATACAGACTGTTTACCTTTTAGTAATAAATAATAAATCAGACTAAGTTAGATAATATAATAGAAATTGCTGGATTCCTTGTAAGACCAGGAATATTTGAATATAAATATCATATATTTGCACAAAAGATAACATATTTACTCAAGAGTAAACATTATATCTAAAATTTGTATGTCTAATGCAAAATCTATGATGTTTATATTCAAAATGATCATCATTGTAAGAATTCCAGCAATGTAAATTATATTCTGGCGGATAATTTGTATGAATTTTGCTAAATAAAAAATTATACTTCCTATGCGGAATGTGAGCATCCTGGGTTCTGGCAGGGCACCACGTAAAGTGAGGGTTGACTGTGTATATATATATATATCTATATATCTATATATATATATATATATATATATATATATATATATATATATATATATATATATATATATATATATATATATATATAAAAGTTAACCCACTTTACGTGGTCGCATTCCCGTTCCCGCTACACGGTGCTTTGCAAGAACCTAACGTGCTCACATTACAGTCGTGAACCCCATTCTGTGGAGAGTGTCTGGCGACACTATTTTAGGTCTTCCGCCCACGCCTGCCTGCCTGTGCTCTCGCCTCTCCCTCCTCCTCCCTCGCTTGGGCCACAAGGTCAAGAAAGTGTGTGTCTTTGTTACATATTTACTTCGACGCTATATGACGATCGGGATCAGGATTATTATGCATCCCTACCCTCTGCTACATAGCTGTAATTGGCTTAAAGTATCATGACGGTTCACTCCGTGGGAGGAGGGAGGAGGAAAGATGACGCTGATTCCAGCCGCAGTTCATCCTCAAGGCCACACCGTAAACGCAGCATCCATTGTTCCAGAAATGGCTTCCGCTGACCACCACCCCAGAGAGAAACCTTTTCTCATTTGGACCCAGCGGCATCAAAGCCAAAGAATATTACCTACGTTCCTGGTTACGTAGAAGTATACCATCATCCAAGAGTTGAGAAAGGAACAAGCAGTA